TTAAAGAGTCCTCTCCTGCTGATGTTCAGGTGTATATCAGTATGTAGTGTCTCTACTTTAAAGAGTCCTCTCCTGCTGATGTTCAGGTGTATATCAGTATGTAGTGTCTCTACTTTAAAGAGTCCTCTCCTGCTGATTTTCAGGTGTATATCAGTATATAGTGTCTCTACTTTAAAGAGTCCTCTCCTGCTGATGTTCAGGTGTATGTAGTGTCTCTACTTTAAAGAGTCCTCTCCTGCTGATGTTCAGGTGTATATCAGTATGTAGTGTCTCTACTTTAAAGAGTCCTCTCCTGCTGATGTTCAGGTGTATATCAGTACATAGTGTCTCTACTTTAAAGAGTCCTCTCCTGCTGATGTTCAGGTGTATGTAGTGTCTCTACTTTAAAGAGTCCTCTCCTGCTGATGTTCAGGTGTATATCAGTATGTAGTGTCTCTCATTTAAAGAGTCCTCTCCTGCAGATGTTCAGGTGTATATCAGTATGTAGTGTCTCTACTTTAAAGAGTCCTCTCCTGCTGATGTTCAGGTGTATATCAGTATGTAGTGTATCTACTTTAAAGAGTCCTCTCCTGCTGATGTTGATGGCTCTAATAAAGGAACATGAGTCCCTCTAGTGGACGAAGAGCTGCTGTCACATTATTCTCAAAAAAAGGGGAGTAGTTTAACCGCAACACAAGATTAAAGTAAAGTAAAATAATCTTAAAATTACATGAAAAATAAAACTTTTAAGATACAACATTTATAAATAAAGTATAAAAGAATATCTTTTAATGAGAAAATAATAATAATAACAATACAAAATAATTTAAAACTAAATGTTAAATGTCACTTTGGAAAAATTAAGATAATCATGTCATAAGAAAAAGATAAAAATAAATGATCAATACAAAAATTATTTTAAAAAATCTAACATAATATGATATATTTTAAATTTAAAATAATATAAATTAGAAGTAACTAATACATACATTTGAAAAATACAGATATGAAATGTACAGTAAAAAAAATAATCATGTAAACATAACAAATAATAAATGAATAACCTAAATAAAAAAATAATAAGAAATAAACAAACAGACAAATAAATAACAACAATATTAAGGCCTACACAATAAAGACTTTAGACATGGCGAATAACATTTGATTTGAACACATTTTTGAAAAACTTACATTATACGATGAGAACTTTTTCTCTGGTCCAGAATTTAAATACCAGAAAAAGTCGCTGAAAATTCTCCTGTTTTTCATCTTCTTCTTTATGAAAGTGATCCAGAGAGACTCAGCTGACAGATCAGTCTGCACGCTACTTTAATACATGTAAACAAACACAGGCTATAAATGGCTGCTAACTGACTCATGACTTTAAACTTCCTGCAGAGCCCGCAAAGCATCCTGGGAAGTGTAGTTCTTAAAGCTAACAGCGTGAGCATAGACTTAAAAAAGACAGAATGGGAGAAGTACTCAGATCTTGTACTTGAGTAAAAGTAGAAGTACTCAGATCTTGTACTTGAGTATAAGTATAAGTACTCAGGTCTTGTACTTGAGTTAAAGTAGAAGTACTCAGATCTTGTACTTGAGTATAAGGAGAAGTACTCAGATCTTGTACTTCATTAAAAGTAGAAGTACTCAGATCTTGTACTTGAGTAAAAGTAGAAGTACTCAGATCTTGTACTTGAGTAAAAGTAGAAGTACTCAGATCTTGTACTTGAGTAAAAGTAGAAGTACTCAGATCTTGTACTTGAGTAAAAGTAGAAGTACCAGAGTGTAGGAATACTCTGTTACAGTAAAAGTCATGCATTCAAAATCTTCCTCAAGTAAAAGTAGAAAAGTATTCTCATCAAAATATAGTGAAAGTAGTGACAGTAAAAGTAGTCATTGTGCAGATTGGTCCATTTCAGAATAATATATATGATATGTTTTATAATGATTGATCATGAAAGTGTTCTCAAAGCTGGTAAAGGTGCAGCTAGTTTGAATGACTTTGTATACTGCAGGGTAGCTTGTGGAGTTACTCCAGGAGGTCTTGTACTTGAGTTAAAGT